CCACCCGCCCCCCCCCCCCCCCCCCCCCCCCCGCACACTTGCCCCACACCAGCAAACTGCTATGCTGCAATTCACAGGATCAGCTCTTAAGACCCACAAAGCTAAGACTGCTGCTTCTCATTCCCAGGGCCTTTAGCTTTGTTCTTGTTTTAGTGTGTGTGAGTGTTTTGCCTGCATGGATGTCTGTGTAGCACATAGGTGTCTAGTGCCCACAAAAGCCAGAAGGCATAGGATTCTATGAAACTGTACTTACAGCTGTGAGCCTACGTATGGGTGTTAGGAAGTGAACCTGGGTCCTCTGGAAGAGCAGCCAGTGACCTTAAAAGCCAAGATGCGGAACCCATTGATTTTGATACACTCACAGCCAGCTCTTTCCTTCCCTCCTCCTGTCCTGGGCAGAACTGTAGCCAGATACTTGCCTGCACCCATTCTCAAGGGAGCAGTGTGGCAATGGAGCCACCCTGCTGGCCACCGCCTGCAATTGCAAGGCTTCGAGGGCCAGGAAGTGCCCAGGGTCACCTGCTAGTGACCTTAAACACCCTTCTTATCATTTTCTTTCCAGTCATAGGACGGTCATGATACCTCTTTAGACCAAAGAACCCTTGTGACATGGGACAGGAGGGAGAGAGTTTGGCCCAGGGCTGTCACCTCCAAAGGGCATATTCTCTCTGCCAGAGAATCCTGAATTGTACTGAGATTGGGAGAAACTGGAGCCTCCTTTTCTCCTCTTGAGTTCTCATCACAGCACAGCCTGAGTATGGGGTGGCTGGGTTGGCAGCGTCCCCAGAATATAGGTCATCAGCCAGGCTGTTTTCTGGGATCCAGAGGACCGCTCTGCCCTGCTCAGCTGCCACCTGGAACCAGGAGCTGAGCAGGTAAAGCAGGCGAGCTACGGAGAAATCCTTCCTCCCTCCATCACTATGCAAGAAAGTCTTCCTCCCTCAGCTGTCATGACTGAAGTCGAGAGCTTAGTGGTAACGGGCTATCTCTATCTCCTTCGTCGCTTCAGGCAGCTCTCTATCAAACATAATCTCCTCAGTAAAGATTACTGCTTGTACCAATTTGTCCAAAAAAAAAAAAAAAAAAAAAATTGTCGATGGGAGCCGTCGGCTTCAAGCCACCCAGAGCTTGAATTTTCTTTGAAAATCCCAGGACAGGAAAATGACAGAAGGAGCAGGAAAAAAAAAAAAAAAAAGGGCAAAGTCATTCATGTGGTTCACAGGTACCTGCCCAACCTCCCGGCTGGTGTGGGTGGAGGGATGGATGGGCGCAGGGAAGGAGGAGGGTGGTGCTTGAGGACTAACCACTCAGAAAGGAGCTAGTGGCTCTTGGGTGGCAGCCACCCGGCCCTCCTCTGACCCTTCTCTAAGAAGTCTGAGGTTTGGAGCCCTCAGCCCCCTCCCTCGCTTTGACTTCTCAGGATGTGCACCTGGCAGGGACTGTGGACCCGGGCATCGGTGACTTGAGAAACAGTTCATAAGGCTCAAAGAGAACCCCAAGTAGGCAGCACTGAGTCTGTCTGTACAGTCCCTGCCCAGAGGTGCAGCACACCTCCGAGGTCCCTGCTATCCCCGGGCATGCTACTTTTCTAAATAGCAGATTGTGAAGAGCTCCATGGGAGCTGCAAACGCCCCTTCAGCACAGGGAGGGCTTTACCCACTTGCAGATGACAAAACAGACTTGCAAACCCATGAGGCACTGTCCTAGGCCTCACTCCAGCCCTTTGGTCTTCCTGCCTCCGTCTCTGTTGTCACTGCTTGCTACTAGGGCTGAGTCACACTAAGCTCACACACACCCAGTGGGTGCCTGTTGGGGACTTCCCTTTGTTAACTTCCCTCAAATGTGTATGCCACATTTGCTGGCTGCTACTTGCTTTGCTTCCGAGAAAGTGGCAGAAGGGGACCCTGCCGGTTAGTCACGCCTGCTGAGACTCGACTCCCATTAAGATGACCAGCATAGGGCTAAAGAGATGACTCAGTCATTAAAGAGCACTGGATACTCTTGCAAAGGACCTGGGTTTGATCCCCAGCACCCACATGGAAGCTCAGAAACCTCTCTAACTCCAGTCCCAAGGGATCTTTTGCCCTCTTCTGGCTTTCTTGAGTACTACACATATACGGTGCACAGACAGACATGCCGACTAAACACCTGCACACATAAAACAATAAAATATTTTTTTAAAAAGTGACAGACATAATCAGAGCTGTTCCCAGGGTGTTAGGATAACACTTCACAGTTTAGAAGCCTGTTCAGATATTAACTTCCTCTTTCTCAATTTCTACAAAAACTCTGTGAAGCTGCCATGGGCACACTGTGCAGGTGGGGAAACTGAGGCTCAGAGACAGTGCAGGGCTCAACGAAGGTCACACAATGACATGGGAGGATGTGTCGGGGCCTTGGCCCTGCAGAATGAAACTCACACCTGTTCCTCTCCGATTCTGGAACAGTGGCCACCGAAAAACCACATCCCTCTGTGGAGAGACACTAGGTATCCTAGAGAAAGCCACAGAGCTCTGTAGCCCTGAGTGAGCCACTCTGAAGCTCAGCTCTCTCAGCCATAGTGAGGGCCTTCCCTGTGAGCTATTACAGAGACTAGAGGTCTGCAAACACAGCTCCCCCCCCACTCCCTTTCAAGGTGGCAGGGTGGACCTATGTTCTTCTGTCCCCAGAAGTTTTACTCTACATACATGCTTGTCTATAGTAGGAAATTACCAATACAGAGTCAGGTAGAAATATAAGGGTATTTAATAGGGAAAAGCCTTACTTACAGAGCGAACCAGCCAGCCGGTGGTAGTCTGTACAGCAAGAAGCAAAGAGAAACCGAAAACGAAACGCAGTGCCCCTACTCACTCTGACCATCCCCTCACAAGCCTGCTCAGGTACTCCTGTAGCCAGCCCCTAAGAAGGTGTGGCTACAGCTTCCCCTACACTTGTCCAGTCCCTTCTCAGGACCACTGGACAATCTGTGACGGCTGCAGCAAGGTCTCCCAAGGGCTGTGCACAGGAGGGACATGGTACTCTGCTAGAGAAGAGCCTGTCAGCTAGCTTGGCTTCCTCAGGGTCTCAGGCAACCATGCAGCTGCCTGGACCCCACATCTGGGCAGGTTCCATTCCCTGCCAGAAACCTGGCTGGGTAAAGAGACCCACAGCCTGCATTCAATCAAGCCCTTGTCACTAAGCCAGTGGCTTCCAACCCGGCTGAGCACTGCAGCAGACCCACAGGGTGAACCTTGCAGCTCCAGATGACAGGTGCCTTTGGGTTGTAGACCAGTGCCCATGGTCTACTTCCAGGATCACTGACAGGACTCACAGGAGGCACTGGACAGTGTCCTCTTGTCTGACCATGTAGCCAGCCCTGCAACTCCCTTTCCTCTTCCTTGGCAAGGCCATGAACCCTCAGAGGCCTCAAACCCATTCGCCACTCAGAGTTGGGAAGCCCCTAACAGTTGCCTCATGGGACTTTTTGTTTGTTTGTTTGTTTGTTTGTTTGCATTATATTCTGTGGCTTGGGAGACCCAGGGCCTTGAGGACTAGGTATGTGAGCTCCTTCTCCCAGCCCCTCATTTAGCAGATTTTTGTCGTTAGTGGCTTTGTGAGGAAGGTCAGGAAACTGAGTCAGTAGAGCTACAGACTGGGGGCTTGCATCTCATCTCTTAAGTGAAAATTTATGATCCTCTCTAGGTATCCATGGTGATTGGGCCCAGGACCCCTACAGATCTCAAATTCCAGGAATGCTCAAGCCCTTACCTGAAATAGTGTGTTATTTGCAGAGAGCCTACATTCATCCTCTCAAAGTCCTTAGGATGCCCAACAGCAGAGGCTGTGTCTTGCTCCCTCCTCTAGGAATAAGAGTCCCTGTGCATAGTCAACACAGACATGCTTTCTACCCTTCCCTCCAGGGGGTAGCCCACACTGGCCTCAAATTCCTGGCTTCAAATGTTTCTCTTGCTTCAGTGTCAGGATTACGGGTGGATCCCATCATGGCCAGTTTTGTTTTTGTTTTTGTTTTATCTGTGTTTTCAGTCTGCAGTTTGTTGAATATGGAGTCCAACTCCATATTCATGTTATAGGTCTGTCATGTGTGTGTGTGTGTGTGTGTGTGTGTGTGTGTGTGTGTGTGTGATGATGATGTTTGCCATGCATGCAAATGCATGTGGGCAGGTACCTGTACCCTCAAATTGGGAGACCAGGGCCAGCTGTCTCTTACTGAACTGGAAGCTTGCTATTAGGCTAAGCTGCCCCGCCAGGGAGCACCACCTATCTCTGCCCCACCCAGTACTCCTGGTTCCAGGAGCCACAGCCACAGCCAACTTTTTCTGTGGGTGCTGGGGATCTGAACTCAGGTCCTCATGCTCACAGAGTAAGCGCCCTTACCCACCAAGCTATCTCCCCAGTCCTATTGTAAAATTACACAGGCTGAGCATGGTCAAAAATACCTGTAGTCCCAGCCAGGCAGTGGTGGCGCACGCCTTTAATCCCAGCACTCAGGAGGCAGAGGCAGGCGGATCTCTGTGAGTTCCAGGCCAGCCTGGACTTTTACACAGAGAAACCCTGTCTCAAAAAACCTAAATAAATAAAATTACATAAAAGCATCGATAAACCAAAAGAAGGAAATAAATATCATTTGTGGGTTAACCCTTCTGAGAGGACATTGCTAAAGTTTTGATATATTTCCTTTTTTCATGCATCCATATGTAAACAAATTTTAAACTGAGTTGCACTAGTTTGGAAAATTTTTCTGCATCATAGGTGTATATACTTACTCTGCTCCTAACGATTCTACTACATCATTTCAGTGGCTGCATGCCATTACATTGCGTGGAAGCCAGGACTGAACCACTTCCCTGTCTCTTGATGCACCACAGTCTATTTTAGGCAATGCTGGAATAAACAACCATAATATAAAATCTTTCATAGCACTCTCAATTATTTATATCCTAAGAATAAATTGGGTTTATTTGTTTTTTACATTACATTTGTTCATTTGTCTTGTGGGTGTATGTGCACACACACGTGTGTCACAGCATCCATGTGAAGGTCAGAGGACAGCTTCTGAGACCACTCTCCTTCCACAATGTGGGTCTTAGGGATTGAACTCAGGTCATCAAGCTTGGCAGCAAGCACTTTTACACACTGAGTTATCTCAATGGCCCTTTGGAAGAAATTGGTTATGAGAGAGACTGCTGAGTCAGAAGGTCACATATCCTCCTGAGTTAACCTAGCATTTCAGAGGGACAGTTTACAGGGATTGAAGCCTCACTTGGGGACCCTGAGCTGGGACCTCATTATGTCTCCTTAGCTATCGTGTGGAGGGTTTAAAACAACCCACTCACCCTTGCCCTTCGTTCCCTATCTGTAAAATGGAAACAACTGAATGGCCTCAGAGTACCAAAGAGAGGCCCTTTTCCTGACATGGGGGAAGCTGTCATCCAGGAAGGAGAAGTTTCTAGAATCTGGAGAATGGTTTGGTCTGAACTCTTAGTCTAATGCTGTATATGCTGTGTCCAAATAGACTGTTCCCTCACTTTCGCTGTGTTAGTCAACTCTCTCTCATGGAACAAAATGCCTAAGATAATCGACTTTCAGGAAGAAAGTGTTCTCCTGGGCTCACCGTTTCAGTGGTCTCCACTGGGGTCACCGGTTCAGTGGTCTCCACTGGGCTCACCATTTTAATGGTCTCAGACTATGCTTACTTGGCTGTTTCTTTGGCTCCATAGTGGTCCAGAACATTGTATCAGGATCATGTGATGGAAGAGATACCAGGAAACAGAGAGCAAGGAGGGTCCCAATGTCTCCAGCAAGTTCCCCCCACTAGTGACCCACCTCCTTTCCCATAGATTCTAGCTTTTAAAGGTTCCATCATCTCCCAGTAGGAATAAGACTGGTGATCAAGCCTTCAACACATAGACCTCTGGGGATGCCCCAGGTCCAGGCTATAACATTCAGCATGTACCATCGCACAGCTCTGTGAAGGGCCCTGCTGATAGCCCATCTTCGCAGTGGGGTTTTCCTCTGGACGTGGAGGTGATGCTGACTGTTTTCCCCTTCTCTTCCCAAGGCCACCTGACCACAGTGACAGTCCTTCATTCTCCTACCATCTGAGGAACAGCACTGGCTTCTTATGTACTCAGAAATTGACAGAGAGAAACACCTGGTCTAAGGCTGCAAAGCCAGTGATCTAGGAGCCTGGCCTTCCATCCAGGCTGTCTGGCTGCAGAACCTGACATCATGCCTCTTCCCAATCCTGTCCCCAGCCTCGAGTCCACTCAACTTGTACTTAGTGCCCTTTGACCTTTCTTGGCAGGTGTTCCGAGTAAAGGCTATCAAGTTGGGTGAGAAACTGCTGCCCGCCTTCAACACCCCCACAGGCATCCCCAAGGGCGTTGTGAACTTCAAAAGGTGAGCTGCCCCTTGTGATCCAGTGAGGTGTCCCTTGTGACCCAGTGATCTGCCCCTTGTGATCCAGTGTCTGTGCTCCAAGTCCTGGGTGGTGGCCTGATGAGGAGTCCTAGGGAGTCACTTTTGTCTGACTTAAATTTTTATAGATGTGGGAGCTGAGGCACAAGAAAAGCATAGTTCCTATTTTGTGCATGGTGAGAACTGGCCTTTGCGAAGTACTGTCCTGGACAGGTATTGGTCACCAACTGTAGGGTTTGGGCCACGCAGGCCTGGCCTTCCCAGGGTAGGAGGGACATTTGTTCCTCTGCAAATAGCTCCCAGCCCTGTTGACTCAGAGCCTCCAGAGTTGGCCCCAGCTCCCCCCCTCCTGAGGCAGGGCTCAGCAGCCTGCAGGCAAAGCCAGTACTCAAGGAAGCTGAGGGGCTCTGGGCCTTGGCTCTTCCCAGGACAGGAATCCTGCTATAGAACCCTAGCCCTGACTCTGATCTTGGTAAAGCAGACCTCTGGAAGACACAGAAGGCATACGGCCACGTCCCCAAACACCTGCAGCTCTCTGGGCCATATGTGACACACCTAAGCTGGGAGAAAGGCTCGGGAAATCCATGCTCCCTGGTCTGCCTGGGCCCCCATCTAGGGTACCTCATGGGAGTGCTGACCAGGTATCTGGAAAGGGAGTCCGTCCAGCTTCTGCTGGGCTCCACTCTCCCTCCTGTCCCATGGCCTTGATGGCTTTGCCCTCCATGTCCCACAAACCAGTGCCTCTTTCACCTGGTGGGAAACCTCCCCAGCATCCTCAGTAAAACTTCGCCGAGGCCAGGGAGGTCATGAGGGCTGACAGGAGCCGTCCTCCACACTGGACTTGATACCTCAGAGATCCACACACAGGCCTGGGCTCAGAGTGCTTCTCCACAAACACTAAACCTGAGAATCAGGACAGAAGTGACCCACACCCTCATGCTGGGTCTGGGCACAGCCCTCAGGGCCCCGCCCTCTGCTGTGGCCCTAGCCCGTCTCACCTGTAGCCCTCAGCGGAGCCTGATCCCACACAGACTCTAGAATTCCTGGCACAGGCATGGATATTTTTAGGCTGCTTGCTCGCCATTGAGATATCCTGCACGTGGATACTTCTGGCACGGCCCGCTTTCGTATTCTGGGAAAGAAGCGATCGCTAAAAATGGGAGGGTAGCGAGGACTCAGTGGCCACGTGCTACTGCGAACTCTCCTCAGAGATGACCTGGTAGGGGGCTGGAGCTATCCTGCTGTTCCTCTAGTGTTCAGCAGGCCTGGTTGCAGGCAGCTAGAGGGCTAGGCGGCCACACTGCCCAGTGTGGCGGTAGGTGCTCATCTCTGTCCCGGAGACATCCTAGGAGAGGCAAGGCCAGCTGTCAGAGGCAAGACCTGAGGCAGTGACTGTGGCCAAACCAGGGACCTCTGACTGAATCAGTCTGTCACAGGCGTGCATACATGCCTGCACAAAACACTCCTGCTGCTGCTCATGCCACTAGTAAGGGATCAGGCATTCGAGCTGACCATTGTCATGTGATTCTCAAATCCACACATGGACTCATATATCCATACAGATGCAGGTATGTTCATGTGGTGTGCTCCCTCTAAACATGCCTATACATGCCTACATAATTACTAACAGCTTGGGAGCACACAGTGGGCCGGGCACTCTATGAGCACACGACAGAGAACCTTCCTTTCTAACCACCAGGGCCTCATTTTGCCGGGAAAGAAAATGAGGCTCAGAGAAGTGCAGTAACATTCCCGAGGTCACACAGCAGCCAAATAAGCTTAGGCTTTGAGCTCAGCTCCGGCTATAACAATTGCACCATACACAGGAGGTTTAGCCAGGTAGCAGTACCCCTTGCCAGCAGAGAGGAGAGGAGAGCAGATCTTACTGTTGGCTCATTGTTTTATAGAGCTGGTCGAAGGACCCTGTCCTTTCCTGGATGTTGCTCCGTGTGCAAGCTAGTATACAGGATTTGGATTCAGTTCTACCACTTGCTGTGTGACCTTGAAAAAGTGTCTCCCCCTTTCTGAGCCTAAGTAATTCCCACCTATGAAATGAAGATCACAGTATGGGCCAGTAGAGTTAGAGGTGAAGGGTGAAATAAGACACCAAAGCCACCTGGATCCTATTAGAAGTTTATTGTCACTTACATATGCATAATTCCATACTGATAAAAACGACAGTCATGCGCATGATTAATGCCCCACAATAGCTCCATGAAGCTGAGTGCCTGGGTTTAAGGGAGGAGGAAGCTGATACCTAGGGAGGTGGTGGGGTTCTCCTGAGGGCACCTGGTCTGGGACATAGAGGAAGCCAGGAGCAGGCAGAGAGTGCCAAAACACCCCACACTTGTCCTCTCTACCATCTGAAGCCTCTGGGGCTGGTGACTGTGAGGAGCAGGAGAGAGAACAGAGAGGCCCAAGTGGTGGACAGTGAGGACAAAACCTATCTGGAAGACAGGGTGGAGTGGTGGTACTCGCCTTTAATCCCAGTGCTCGGGAGGCAGAGCAGAGGCAGGCGGATCTCTGAGTCCAAGGCCAGCCTGGTCTCCAGAGTGAGTTCCAGGACAGCCAGGGTTGCATAGTGAGACACTGTCTAGAAAGAAGAAAGGAAGCTAACTGGGGGACTTGGGCTTTCTATTTTTAACTTATGAAGCAACAGTTGACATCACCCACGAAGCCCTCTGAGCTCCTCAGCTGGAGGAAGAAGGCTCACTTAGCCTGGGGGATCCCCTTATTGCCTCTAGGGAGCATGAGGTCTTAAGGTACACCCTCAGGGTGGGGGATGTGAAGCCAGAAGACCTGGGTTAGAATCCCACCTCCTGTGGGCTCTAGTTATGAGCACATCACCGCCCTGACAACCTCAGTTTCCTCCTTTGAGTGCTGGGGTTAACCATGCCTGTGAGCTTCCTGTACCAGATGAAACCACTCCCTGGAGTACCCAGGCTGACCTAGTGGCTCCATAGACGGCAGCCTGCCCAGCCCAAGCCTAGAAATACACAAGGGGACAGAGATGGGACGAAGTGTGTGGCAGTCTCTGCATTTTGGTGGAAGTCACAGTCTTCCAGGAGCTGGGACTCACCTCAGCGCCCCTGCTTTCCAGGAAGATCCAGTCTGGGCAAGAGCAGAGCTCAGAGTGGACAGTGAGGCCTCAGGCCTGCACCAGCAGAAGTTAGGCCCCCAGGCGCCCCCACCCCCACACCACACTGCCTTCCTAAGTCTTCTCCATCTCTAGAGATGGCTGGAAGGCAGCCAGGCAACAGGAGAGTAGAGGGGCCTCCAAAACACGCCACCCCACAACCTGCCCAGGGGAGGTAGTCACTGCACCCAGCCCACCCTCACCCCTTCTTACACTAACTCTACAGACTGTATGTCCCCCTGGAATCCGAAATATCCCATGGGAAAGTAACCAGGATATGTGTATGGAATCTGAGACATACGGAGAGGACGCCTCTTGCCCACCGCCATCCTTACTCAGCACCAAGTCCCCACAAAAGCCCGAGACTGGGAGGCAAGGGCAATTGTCCTCATTCTGTTATTCAGATATGGAAACTAAGGCACATGGGGATTTGCCCGAGGGTGCCAGCCAAGCAGCCCTGGCCCCTACACCCTCTGGATCCAGGGTGCGGCAGGTGAAAGGTCTGGAAAGCACTCCCTCACAGGGCAGAGTGATGCAGACAGCAGCCTCTCTCTGGGCTGACCCATTTCAGCTTCTTTTGGGCCCAGCTACTGCACAGACTGGTGGCTGTAGCGGGAGGTCTCTGACTCTGGCCAGATTCTTTGTCTCTAGAAGGAAAGTGGGGGTATAATGCATGTGCTGGCTCTGAGGTTTATTCCTAGAGCACTGGACCCCGAAGTGGCCATCACAGCCTCCTGCAAGGCACAGGGCAGAGAACATGACTGATGCCTGTGAGAGCCACGGTTTCACAGGGCACTGGCCTTGGCTACGGGGGCCCTGCTTCTTTCACTTCTAACCCTGGCTTCCTTGGGTCCAACAGTTCTAGGGCTGTGGTCACACCTTGTAGGTCCCAGGAAACTCCTGTCTGGGGCTATTATACAACCTTGGGCAGACGGAAAGGCAAAAGTATATGCACGTGCATGGGGGTGGGGAATGTCTTTGCTTGGAACTGCCCCCTTCAAGCCTAAAGATGACCACCGGGTGTCCCTCAGGGGCCTGGGTAGCTCCTAACTACACCAGTGGTGTCACCTGCAGATTTCGCCATCACTGTGTGTCATGCCTTGAACCCCAAACGTTATAGAGCAGGAACAAAGGCTGTGATGTGGGTTCAGACTACCCTCAGTAAATTTCATCCCCTCACCAGCCCCAGTGCCATCCACATAGTGGGGCCCAGGGGGGGTGACCTGAGGTGTCTGGAACTGAGGTGTCTGGTGCAGGATTCACCCTGTACTATAGCCACTACTCATCTCAGCCAAGGAGCCAGCAGGGTGACGCCGCTGATGTCTTTTCAGCGGTAGCTGGGGCTGGGCCACCTCAGGCAGCAGCAGCATCCTGGCTGAATTTGGATCCCTGCACTTGGAATTTTTGCACCTCACAGAACTCTCTGGCAAGCCGGTCTTTGCAGAAAAGGTGAGTTTCCCCTCGCTCTCTCCCCAGGCAGTCACCCCACACCACAGCAGAGGGGCAGAGGGTGAGTGCCTGCAGTCAGGGTGCACAGGACCCCCAACCACCCCTCTCACATGTGCCCAATGCCAGGCGGCAGGGAGGGGAGCAGAAGCCACCAAGCTCTGCCAGGGAGGTCTGTGCTGGCGTGTTGGCTGGGGGCAGATCTGTGAGCTGTGAAATCTGGAGACTGACAGAGCCAGGCTCCTCGTACTGGCAGGAACAGGTGGTGGTGTGCACACATACCCTTTCCAGGGACATTTAGCTTTTCCGTGTGTGAGATCTGCCTGCCTTTGCCTCCCAGGGGCCCGTCTGGCTCGGGCTGGCAGCAGGCAGGCAGAGTGGTTCCTTATCACTGTTCTCGGCTGCCCAAGGCCACATGGGTGCTGAGAAGTGGCATCCAGGTCACTGCCCAGGCCTGACAAATGCCCATCCCTGGCCCTGAGAAGCTCTCTGGAAGGGCTATGGCCAAGGAAATGTCTGGATTCGGGTTTAACCCTGAATCTAAAGAAAGGCAGTGTACACATAGGCCCCATCTAGAACCCCCCCAAGAACAGCATTTGGGATCCTGCTGTCTCCCTGAGATGGCTTCACACCTCCACCTGGTGGTGCTATCTTGTGTCACTAGTTGTTCCCAGAGCATAGTGACCACCCCCCCCCACACACACACACACACAGCTGGAAGGAAACATGTTCTGGGCCTCTGCTTGCCCCAGGCCCCGGTGTCTGCTCGTTCACACACACAGGAAGCCCAGTGCTCCTTAACACCAGGTTTGGGACCACTGTGCCCTTGATGTGGGACTCCACCAGGGTAGAGAAGCTCAAGACAAGCTTCACACCCTCTTGATTGGTGTCTGTGGCCTCCTCTCGCCCCCATCCTTACCTGTCTGGGATGTGGTCGGTCATTCTACTCAACTGAGTCCAATCCCACAGCCTAGTGCCATGCTCAGTGCCATCCGAGCTCTCTGACCCTTTGCCCAGCCCCAGGCTTTCTGTTCTCATGACTGGATTCCCCTGGGAAGCCCTGGCCACCTCAGGAAAGGGTCCCATGAGTGAGTGCACACTGACGTTTGCCATGTCCTGGGCATGTTTTATCTTAAGCCCCAGAAGACCTGGGGGTAGCGGGACTGCCAACCCTAACTGAGAGGTAGAGGGTGGAATGAACCAGAGAGGCTAAGTAACCTGCCCAGGGTGGTCAGCAATGGACTGAGAATTGGACCAGGGACTTTGCAGCCTTTTCTTCCCTGGACAGATCAGTGTAGCCAGCTGCCCTGTGCACCTCCAGACTCCTCGTCCCTCTGTCACTCTCCATTTGCATACTTAAGCTATTTCCAGGCCCTAGTGACATCACATCACACCTCCCGCAGAGGAGATTATTAACAGTTGGCAAATTGGCCCAGATTTTTACAATGCCCTGAACCCTCCAGGGTAGCTAATACAGCCTGCTTCCCTAGGCCCCACCAGCACAGGGAGTCCAAGAATCTTCCTGCCCCTCTCATGGTCCCTGTTACCTTAAAGAGACATGAGGTCCAGTGAGGCAAAACCAAGTGCCTTTGAGGAATAGGAAAGCTGATGGCTCAACCCTCCCAGCTGCCCCTGCCATGCCAATTATTCCATGAGCAGGCGGCAGTATGGTCCTGGGGACTTGCTCTCCCAGAGGGTCCATTTCTAGCAGGCATCTAGAAAAGGTTCTCAGTTGCATCTCTCAACATGTGCAGTCCCCAGGGCTGCAAGCCAAGCCTCAACTAGTGTCACATCATGCATACCCTCTAGGTTTGTATTGAACTCAATGGCTTGGGAAGCAGAGACAGGCGGATCTCTGTCAGTTAGAGGCCAGCTTAGTCTACAAAGCGAGTTCTAGGACAGCAGGACTGCACAGAGAAACCTGTCTCAAACAACAACAAAGCAAAATAGCTACTGCCACTGATCTGAAACCCCCCACCTAGGCAGGCAGCCTAGGATAGGACTGTCCCACGCAGAAGCAGTCAGCAGAGAGTGGGTCAGGCCCCACTCAGCCCCATCCCACCATGCTCTGCGTGTGGGCACAGAACCTGTGGTTCTTTCACCATCTCCCCTCCTCCTCCACCAAACACACATCAGAAAGCTTTAACCCCCACGTGCTGAACCAATTCACTGGATCCTCATGGGTGGGGAAAGAGCAGCTTCTTCGGGAAGTGACCGTGCCTGGTGTTTCTCACAGGTCAAAAACATCCGCAAGGTCCTCAGGAAGATTGACAAGCCCTTCGGCCTCTACCCCAACTTCCTCAGCCCAGTGAGCGGGAACTGGGTGCAGCGTGAGTACTGCCATCACTGCTCCTCATCCCATGGGTTCCCATTCAGGCTTCTTGAGCCCAAGTGGGCACTGGCTGAGAGCCAGGGACAAGCACCAGCTCCTGAGTTCACCAGCCTGGATATCCGATTCCTTCCAACATTCCTAGCGTCTGTCTTAGTTAGAGCTCCAGTTGCTGTGAAGAGACACCATGGCCACTCCTATCAAGGAAAACCTTTAATTGGAGCTGGCTTATAGTTTCAGAGGTTTGGTTCATTATCATCATGGCGAGAAGCGTGGCAGCATGTAGGCAGACATGGTGCTGGAGGAGATGAGAGTTCTAATCTGGATCTGCAGGCAGCATGAAGAAGCCGTGTACCACACCGGGCAAAGCGAGAGCATATATGAGACCTCACAGCCTTCCTACAGCAAGGCCACACCTACTCCAACAAGGTCACACCTCCTATAATGTCACTCCTCATGGACCAAGCACTCAAACACATGAATCTATGGAAGTCATTCCTATTCTTTTTAAAAAATATATATATATTTATTTTATGTGTATGGGTATTTGGCCTCTGCACATATATATGTACACAACATGCATGTCTGGCATCATGGATCCCCTGGAACTGGAGTTACAGACAGTTATGAGGTCCCGTGTGGATGCTGGGGATTGAACCCGGGCCCTCTAGAGGAACAGCCAGTGTTCTTAATTGCTGGGCCATTTCTAAGCCCCGGCATTCAAACTGCCACAGCACCCACCTCTCACAGCACCTCTGCACCCTCCTCTGTGTCCCCAGACTGGAAGGAATGTCCCACTTAGAGCTGTCACTCAGCAGTGACTACAGGGATGACCCTGTGACATCCCCTAGTCACTTTGATCTGGCTTTCCACTTCTAGTTTTGATTTAGACAAAATTTTAGGCAAGGACAAACTAGGCAGTGACCTGACACTCTCTCCCCACTGTACCTTAAACTTACCTGAATCAGTCCTGGGGGTTTCAGCTTTTTGTTTGTTTAAGAATTTAAACCTGGCTGTCCCAGAACTCACTTGTAGATCAGGCTGGTCTCAAACTCAGAGCTCTGCCCAACTCTGTTTCCAGAGTGCTAGAATTAAAGGTGTGTGCCACCATGACCAGCTGCTTAAAGACGTTTTATTTGAGATAAGGTCTTCAGGTAGCTCAGGTTGCCTCAAACTTATTAGGTAGCCAAGGCTGGCCTTGAACTCTTGATCCTCCTTCCTCTGCATCCCAAGTGCTGAGATGACAAGTGCGCAGCACCACACCTAACAACTTTTCAGACACACAGCTGCCAGTTTCCTGTGGGCATAATTCCCAAGTCCCACCCAATGACACAGACTGAGAAGCAGGCTTGACTCGTCTCCCTGCTGTGCTCACGATGGAGGGGCCAGGCTCTGCTAGAGGCAAACTGCTGCTCGACTCTGGCCTTGTCTCTAAGGCTCAGCCATATGGTCACTCAGCAGGAACTGGTGTGTGGTCTGTCTGTCTGTCTTCCAGTTGTTTGTATCCTCCTGGATGTGTCTGCCTTCTACTTGTGCTACATCCTTGTGTGCGCTCATGTGTGTGTGTGTGTGTGTGTGTGTGTGTGTGTGTGTGTGTGCGCGCGCGCGTGCGCGTGCGCACGCATGTGTGCCTGTCTGTCTGTCTCCCAATTGAACTACACCACAGCCCCTTTCAGTCCCAAGTCTTGGTTTCTGGTGAAAAAAGAGAATTGGGTGAATTCATTCTATACCAATAGGAAGGTACTTGTGAATAGCAGTCAAGGCTAAGGCTGCAGGGGTCCTCCAAATGTGATCTAGATCATCCCAAAAGAAAGTGATCCAGGCAGGGCCTGACTGGCCTCCAGAGACTCCACATAGCATCTTCCGAGGCTTTTCCTCCCCAGCCGAGCCTCTCCCTCAGCAGGCCCAGAGGCCCAGGGAATTCCACCCAAGAGTTTCGTCATGATGCCCTCACCACACACAGCCTCTTCTTAAAAATCACAGAAACATGAAATTCTCAACCAAAACACATGTCGAAAGAGGGAACAGAGACTCAAATTACAGGTTATGACCATTGGCGACAAGGGCTTAAGAACTATGGCAGCTTGGAGTGGGGCCTGGCAGCCTGGCATGGTGCAGCAAGCCCCTGAAGAGGCCCAAGAAGCGGCTTGCTGTCATCACCTCTCCCACCACACAGGGAATCGGTTTCTTTCCAAGTTGCTGCTGGGACCTCGGATGTGGGCAGTCAGTCACGTATATGAGACTATTTCATGATAATATCAGATGAGTCCATGGCCTGCTGGAGAGTAGAGGGAAGGCTGGGCCTGCTGGGCCCATCAGGGCTGCCTCCTCCTGCCTTCTGCCCCTGTTCATCTGAGGTTCTCTGGACTTTGTTGGTTTCTTTGATGTGATGGATTCCCAGAGGCAACAGGCTCAGGACAGCTACTGACATCATTTGCAACCACAGAAATGACAGGTGAAGAGGGAAAGAGTTAGGGCCATAGCTCAAGTCACCCAGCCTCTGCTCCTGTCTATTTCCCACTATCCTCAAACCTGGCTTCAGCCTCTCAGGAAACCCAACCCCGTCTGCAGGGTAGACTATGCTCAGGATAAGCCACTGGCTCCAAACACACACACACACACACACACACACACACACACACGCCACATGGACTCACAAATATATACAAACTCACACACACATACATACACACGGACCCACAAAATACACAAACACACACATACACAGACATATGCCACATGGGCCCATGCATATGCACAAACACACCGCACACATACACATACCAGACCCAAAGACATAAACCATACAGATCTACATAAACACACACACACACATGGACATATGCCACCCCACATACACATATACACAAACACACCACATGTACATACCACACACATGCACACAAACATATACCACACAGACACATGCATATATACAAACACACCACATACATACCACAAAGTCACACACATATACACAAATATACCAAACACATACACCCACACCAGATACATACATATATGTAGACATATGCCACACAGACATACACAAACACACCTTACACTCAGATATACACCACAGACTCACACATATAAACAAACATACGCCACACAGACTTGTACATAAACACAGCCAAAACACACATCACACACATACACACAAACACATCACACAGACCTACACAAACATCACACCACACACATACACACAATAAACGTATACCACACAGATCCATGCATACACACAAACACCGTGTGTGTGTGTGTGTGTGTGTGTGTGTGTGTGTGTGTGTGTGTGTGTGCATACCACACAAACAAGCCACACCACTGCAGCACAGCCCCCATCACCTTGATCTGCACAAATGAACTAAGATTTCCAAGGGTGCTCTGTGACTGCAGTCTGACCTGTAACTTGCTCTTACTCCTCTTCCCCAGCCTTTCATGAAGGGCCAGCATTCACTGCTGGGTTCTCCAGACAGGAATCATACCTGTGAATGGTCTGCCACCAAATAAAGATACACACACACACACACACACACCACGCACTCAGGCACACACAGAGACACACATACGCATGCACACACACACACGCATATGTATATACATATACACTCATATGTATTTCCCAGTATCTTATTAAGTTATAACTTTGTAATAGAAAAGGAAAACGCAGACTAAGAGGAACTCCAAACTGCATGCATGAGCCTGCAAAGCCACTGGGGAGGAGCCCAAGGCGTGGCTGCCCTCCTTGGATTTCCATTCCAATAGCTTCAATACAGAATAATCGTTCTTCATTTATTTTTAAATCTCAAGTGATTTTTAAAAGAAAATCAGCCCTTCACAATTAATAACCAGGGTCTTTGTCATCATCCTGCTAAGGCCAGATAGACTGTGGCCCTGAGGACCCTGTGCAAGGATACAGGACGCTTGGCTCAAGATCCCCTGTTCCTGCTTGGGTCCCTTCAGCCCACCCAAGTTGGATTGGGTGGCAGCTGACCAGATGCTGGCTCCAGCGCAAGCCCAGCTCGGGTCACAGAGGTTTGGCATTTGAGCCTAGCCAATGATAAGTGTGCTAATTCTTTTTGTCATCTTTTTCTTGCAGATCATGTCTCAGTTGGAGGACTTGGGGACAGTTTTTATGAATATTTGATCAAGTCCTGGTTGATGTCCGCCAAAACAGATACGGAGGCTAAAAATATGTACTACAAAGCCTTGGAGGTAAGCGAAGTTTCCAGCTGTCTACTGTGTGGGCAGCCACCAGTCCTCAGGGCCCTGCGTGCTGGGAGAGGCCACAGAATGAGCAAGGAGCAACAGGGAAGATGTCCCCAGCCACATTTCACACAATACCTCCCCAGATTCTGGAGACATCTGTGTGTTCCTCTCCCATGCTCAGAAGCCCCGGCTCAGGCAGGTCAAGCCATTTGTCCGAGGTCTCATAGGAAGTGACAGTCTGATTTAGAAAGCTTAGTTTAAGCCCTCCTCCAACAGTCTCTGGACTTCAGCTAATGTGTCAAAGCCCAAATGGCAGCCAGGAGCCCTTGGGGCTCCAAAGCGAGATCGTCAGCTGTCATTCTGTAAACCAGAGGTGACACTTCATGAGAGAGAGGGTAGCATCTGAGATGTGTGGAACATGCCCTTCTGCTTGTTCTCTCCGTGTGAACACAAGCTGAGGTCCAGAGAGAGGAGGACACTTGCCCAAGGCCACACAGCACTGAACTAGCAGAGTTAGTGCTGCTCGCTGCTGGTCTCTTCATGGGGTGTGGAGTAAAGAGTGGGTCCCTCCAAAGAGGAATATTCAGAACTCGGGCCAGCTGGAGCTGTAAATGCCTTTGAACCCAATTGGTGGAAAAGCACATGGCAGGAGCTGCAGAGATGGCTCAGTGATTAAGGGTACTGGCTGCTCTTCCAGAGGATCTGGGTTCACCTCCCAGTACCCACATGGTGGCTCACAACTGCCTGTAGCTCTAGTTCTAGGAGATATAATGCCATCTTCTGACCTCCCTGGGCACTGGCCCCCACATGGTGCACAGACATACATACGGGTAAAACACTCATAAAGTAAAAATAATAAATCTAGCCGGACAGTGGTGGTGCACACCTTTAATCCCAGCACTCAAGAGGCTGAGGCAGGTGGATGGATCTCTGTGGGTTTGAGGCCAGCATGGTCTACAAAGTGAGTTCCAGGACAACCAGAGCTGTTACACAGAGAAACCCTGTCTCGAAAAACAAAATTAATAATAATAATAATAATAATAATAATAATAATAATAATAAATCTGTAGATAATTTATAAGAAAAAGCATAGAGAAGACTCTTGGCATCAGTTTCCCCATGAAGTTAGTTGGATTCCTTGTCCCATTGCCTTTCTCTGGAACACTACCTTGGATCCTTTAAAGTAAGCTTGTTCCCCTCTGCCCTGCCTCTAAATCAGTTCTGCACACAGCAGCCATGGGGCTGGAGGGGTTGCTCCTCTCCTCTCCATCTCATCTCCCCTAACCCTTGGAGTGAATCCTTTGCCCACTGGGTCCTGCCTGATGGGGACCCTGTCAATCATTTGGGCTGTTTCACTTCGCTCTTGCCCCTCTGCTTCCTCAGGTGCATCAGGCTGTTTCCACCTCAGGACTTTTGTATGTGCCGACCCCTCTACCCAGAATGCCATTCAAAAGCCAGGTCCTTTAGACTGGCCAACTCTTCTCTCATATAGTGCCAGAATGACTTTCCCAGCCTATCACATACCCAGGCTTATTTATTCTCTTCTTCATTTGTAACAGAACCAGAAATGAATGCTTACAAACATTTGCTGACTTAATCCTCGCTGGTCTTTCCCAAATACACTATGTGTTCTCTCACTGACAATCCTGTATCCTTGTTAACCCCATAAGCCTCACTCCTGAGACAGACTGGCAATGGTAGACACACAGTAGCTGTTATATGAACAAGTAGGTGCTGAGTGATAGATAAGAAAGACGAGTGGGTGGTTGGATGGATGGATGCGTGGGTGTGGGGGTGGATAGACGGGAACAGCTCCATCGAGAGATTGAGGGATGGATGGGTGAGCTGGCAGATTGATATAAACAGTTGGATAGCTAGATAGATGGGTGGACAGGAAGACGGGTAGACGGGTAGATGAGTGGGTAGATAGAAATGTGAACAGTTGGGTGGAGAGGAGGTTGGGTGGAGAGACGGACAGATGGGAATATGAGTGGATGGGTAGATTGGTATGGGCAGCCAATGAATAGATGACGGGACGGACAAATGGATGGTTGGCCTGATAGATACATGAGTGGGTGGATGCAGGAGTGGATTGATGTGAACACTTCACACAGTCAAACAGATGCATGAGTGAGTTAGTGGGTGGATGGGTGGATAGAGAGATGGACCCGTGAATTGATGAGTAGCTGGGTGGGTGAGTTGGTGGGTGGATGGGTGGACAGAGAGATGGACTGATGGATAGCTGAGTAGATGGGTGGCTGGGCCTGCAGCTTGACGTGAACAGTGGAATGGATGGATCCATGCATGAGTGAGTTGATGGGTAGATGGGTGGATTTAGGTATGAATGGATAGATGGGTAGATGGCTGGATTGATGAAGAGATGAATGGGAGATGGGTGAATTAATATGAGCAGGGAGATGGATATATTGGGGGAGGGTAGACTGGTGTGCACAGTTGGTTAGATGCATGCCTGGGTGGATGGATGGTCTCTAAGCATTGTTTGATGGTGTGAGTCTGCCTGGAAGCGGTAGTGCTTACAGAAACACACTGCAACAGACTGCTGGAGCCATGGACCTCTTAAGCTATGGACTCTGCCTGGCTCCCTGGTGCCAAGCCCTGTCATGAAGCAGTGCAGCTCAGCTCACTCCATCCTGGCCCTGTCTGCCCTTGGATTTGGCCAGTGTCCCCTGTAGGAGGATAACTTTCTTCTCTTCCTGCAGCTCTCCACAGAGTAAACATGAAGTTAACAAGTGCACTGCCTTCCAGCCCTTAGGGCACACTGTGACTGTAGCTTCAAGGGGAGAGATGGCCATGAATTATTAAGCAGTCTGGGAGCCTCAGAAAGCATGGCTGAGTAGAGAAAACTTGCTCCCACATTTGATCTTCTGTAAGGAGCCTGGGGCCGCAGACCCTGAGTGAAGGGCAGGCCTCTGTCAGGACTGGGGCTTTGAAAAATATTCTAGTGGTTCCCAGCCTTGCCGGCATGTTGGAATCACTTAGGGGACTCAGACCTCTTCTAAGGCTGTACCCTAAAAATGGTGCCAGAACCTCTGGGGTGGCCCAAGGATGGTTCTGTGGAGCTTCCCAGCGATCCGTGTGTGAGCAAGGGAACCTGCAGGCTCAACCTGGGTCCAGTTGGGATGTGTGGGTGGGTTTGGGACACCCCATAGACATGCCCTTGAGACTCATAAAAGGAGGGCACATAAGGAAACCAAGGAGGGCCTCGTAGCTGTGACCTCCTACTAGGTCCCTGTATTAGATCCACCTTAAAGTTAATGAAACCAAGACTCAAAAAGACCTAGTCACACCACAGCAAAAACCAAGGCAGGATTAGGGGCCTGCCTGATGCTAGCCTTGCGGTTCATGCCTTCATTGGCTGGTTACAAGTCACTTGGGTCCCTGTAAGAGGACTCAGGTGCACTTCCCAACAGGCATAGGAAGGAACTGGCTGGGACAGCCACCAAGCCAGGTCACAATGCCCTCTCCTTCAGCCTCATCACCATCCTGTGTGTGAGCTTGCATTCCCATTCTATGGATGAGCAAAGTGAGTCTCCAGAAAAGAGGGAAGCAGCTCAAAGGCATCCAGACCTCCCCCGAAGCAAACTCAGCCCCTCCGTACCGTGTCTGTGGCTTTAGGCTTTAGTCTGGGCTAAGCAGATGGTTCTGTCTGTAAAGTGCTTGCTGCACAGGGTGAGGACCAGAGTTCCTCCCCAGAACCCACATAAAGAGCCCAGCATGGTGGCACGCACTTGTAATCTCAGGGCTGGGGAGGCAGAGATGAGAGTCCTGAGTGGTCTCTCTGACCAGATAGTCTAATCAGCAAGCCCAAGATCCCCAAAAACCAAGGTGGACAGCTCTTGAGAAATACCTATGGCTCACCTCTGGCCTCCACATATATGTGCACACATTATAAACATGCCCACACATGCACCAGAGCATACATACACATGCACATCTGAACACACACAGAATGAAGCCTGGCTTCTATGCCCATCTGGCTTCTAGCTCCACCTGGCTTCTATCTCCACCTCTACTTGTCTTTATCGGAGTGAGAGACACCAATCCGTAGTTTCCTCAGAGAGGCTGTTCCTCAGCCTGGGACTCACCCAGCCTGTGGGAGGAAGTCTAGAAGGTGTTGTTTCCCAGCCCTGTGGCATGGCATCCTGGCATCTCCCCATATGTCTGTTTTATCACATCCAACACATAGGTAGGTTTTGGGGCCCTGGATTCACCCCGATGCCCACCCCCTGAAGTTGCCCAGATGCCTGCCCCCTGCAATGACTCTTAAAAGACCAGCTGCTGGGACCCCACTCTCCCCAGGAGCCAGTGCTAAGCCTGGAGCAGCCCCGCCTAGCAGCTGGTGGCACTCCAGGCCTCAGCACGCTCCCCCACATGGAGCTGGTACCCTAAGCAAGGCACCTCATCAATCCCTTTCCATCTGCCACTCAGCAAGGGTCCCGAAGTCAGACCCCCAGCCCTGGTTCTGACAGGCAAGGAAAAGGAAAAACAGATCCTGAAGCCAATACCATCTTCATGTGCCAGGTCCTGGCTGGTGGCTGATGGCTGTGTCAAGCCACACTCAGATACAGGGATAAAATCACTGAATGTGATCATGCTCCAAGAGCCAGGAAGTGTCCTAAGAGGGCTGACCCCTCCAAGAACCACAGCCTGCTAGAAAAGGCCTTCCAGGGCTCAGAATACAGGGAGGGGTATACACAGCCAGAGGCGAGAGCCTTCTCTGACCTCTTCAGCAAAGCAGAGCATCCATACTTTCATCTCATACCCTCAGTTTATCTCTTCCTGACTGCTGATCACAGTCATTCCTACGTGCATTTGACAGAGACCTCTGCACCCAGAGCTAGGCCCATCCACAGTGCTTCTGTGTTCCCAGCCCTTGGCCCAAAAAAGACTCCAGCCCTCTTGGGATATCCAAACCGGGGTGAGCATGAATGGGGAAAGGCCAGTGAGGCTGGGAAGGGATGTGAGTAGAGGGCAGGAGACGGACTGCAGAGGACTCATGGCAGCATTTGTTGGAGACTCCGATGCAAAGAGACAAAGCTGACAGAGAGAGCATGGAACCTGCCCAATGCCACACAGCAGACTGATAGAAAAGAGATTTGAACTACAGAATGTGTGCCGGGGAATCAGTCTAGAAAACCAGTCACTCCTTGGGGTCTGGATCAGGGTGCCTTTAAGGCCTAGTGGGGCCTTCTTCCAATGGTACCAAGAGTCTATTGTGATTGCACAAAGGCCAATAATGTGGCCCAATTCATTTAAGAGTAGGTTGTGGGGCTGGAGAGATGGCTCAGCAGTTAAGAGCACTGGCTGCTCTTCCAGAGGTTCTGAGTTCAATTCCCAGAAACCACATGGTGGCTCACAACCATCTACAATGGGAACTGATGCCCTCTTCTGACAAGCAGGCATACATGCAGACAGAGCACTCATACTTAAAAAATACATAATTTTTTTTTTTTTAAAAAGAATGGATTGGTGAGCACTGGGAATGGAGGCAGAGGACCAGTAATGTTTCCATGGGTCTTCAGCTAAAACCAGGACTCACAGGCCTATGGAGGCCAGCTCTGGGCCGTGTAGACAGCACCCAGCTTCAGAGTTCCTGGGACTTTTGGCAGAAGGCACTCCAACATCATGAGTCAGTTCTCAGGAGCCCCTTTCTACTAACGAGAGCCTGCAGCGCTAGCAGAAGGAGCGGAGCTCCCGTGGGCGATGAGGGTGAGCAGATCCTCCCACGCCCAGCACGCAGGGAGAAAGCACTGCTGAAGCCCTGGACAGAGGTGAAGATCACTTTCTGATGAGACACAGGGCCTCCCTCCCACAAAGATGCTTAGCCACAGGAAGGCTGGGAACTCCAGTATGGAGCCCATACAGGCCAGCAACCTTCGGGCCAAGCCCTTCTAACACAGGCTGTAGTGGAGAAACAGCTTCATTAATCTTTATTTTATTCACTGTGATTACTGTTGGATCTGGGAACCTGACTCAGGTGGACCAGTTTGCACAGCAGGCTTTTTTACCTGCGAGCCATCTCACTGGTCCCCAGTGTAAAGACTGTTTAAGTGTTCTTTAAAACACTGATTTTCCTTTAACCTTTAATTTTTTTCTTGTTTGTTATTTTTATTTTACGTGTATGGTGTGTCTGTGTACCATGTGCATGCAGAGCCTGCAGAGGCCATGTGAGTTCTGGGAATGGACCTAGGGATTCTAGAAGAGCAGCCAGTGCTCTTAACCTCCGAACCATGTCTCCAGCCACAAAATGTAGATTTAAAAGGCCTGTGTTACATCCTAGCTCCCAGAAGGACCTCCCACTACAGGACTCTGCAGAGAAACCCTGCCAGTTTCCTTGTGGCTCACTTGTGTCTTCAATTCTCTCCTTTCCCGCCCTGTGCGGTCCTCCCCACTCTCAGGCCATAGAGACTCATTTGGTGAATGTCTCTCCTGGGGGTCTGACCTACATTGCTGAGTGGCGAGGGGGCGTTCTGGATCACAAGATGGGACACCTGGCCTGCTTCGCAGGGGGCATGATTGCCCTTGGTGCCGAGGATGCCAAGAAAGAGAAGAGGGCCTACTACCGAGAGCTTGCAGCCCAGATCACCAGAACATGCCATGAGTCCTATGACCGCTCAGGTAACCCTGCAGAGGAAAAGGTAGCAGCCGATACCCAGGCCAGACATCAGGAAGCACTTACCATAGCAGCAGAGCAATGGAGGTGTGGGAAGCTCCCCTGGGAAGTTACTAGAATCTGAGTGTGAGGCGTGCAGTCTTGCCTTTGATTGTGTCATGTCCAGCACTGAGAGGTGTCACTACTGACATACCCCCTACCCCCACCCCACCCCTGCACAAATGGAGAAACTGAGGCCACCCGTGGCAGATTAACAGCTGAGCCCTACAAATCCCCTGCCTGCAGGGTACCTCTGCCTGCCCTTTGTACTCATGGGACTCTCACCCCATGTCAGACGGCGCTTTGATTCAAGACCACCGACAAGTTTAAGATCTGTTTCCACACACCTGGCACTTACCAAAGCCGTCAAATAGTCAGTCTAGTGGTGTGAGCTGCAAGCCTCATTTTTATACTTGGTGAAACAGTCAGCCCAGAGAAGGGGAACCAACTTAGGGAAAGTTCCTCCGAATGTGAGTGGCTGAGCCTAGCTGAGAACCAGACCCTGAGACACACACACACATATACACACACACACACACACACACACACACACAACATTGTGCCCCTCTAAAAATGTACTTCCCAGCCTCAGGAGCTGCCTCTCGGAACCACAGTCCTAGCCTTGGGTGGATGAGAGACTCCAGTGTGCTCTGAGCCTCCGTTTTCTCCTGTGTCCAATGGGGAGAGCAGTGTGCAGCTGCCAGAGCCATGCCAGGTCCACGAGCCAGCGTCCAAGCAGCCCTGCAAGAGGAGAGGAGGCTTTGATGCTTCCCCGGGCTGGAGCTGGTTCCAAGTGGGCCCTGGGAAGTCACTTTCGTGCTGGGCCTGAAATCGGGCCTCCCATTCTTTTCCGGCACTCGCTGGGCCAGGGCCATAAACAAATGGGAAATCTCAGGAATAATAAAGAGCTGTTTGTCGGGACAATCATCCAGGGCTGTAAAAGACAGCCGCTTAATCGAGCATATTGTCCCAACCAGCCTGGCTCACCCGCTGCCGGCTGTACAGTAACTGCCTCCCTCACCCCATTAGGAACTTGGCAAAAGCACTATTTCCCAGTGACAGAGCCTTGGTGCCATTTGAAAAGGCTGAGTGAGGGGTCAGGGCGAAGAGGCTGAGCCTAGCTGACCCTTCTTCTGAGGCGATAAGCCTCCAAAGTGCCAAAAGGCTCCCACCCCAGGGCCTCATGGGTGCCAAGGCCAAGCAGGAGAGGACATACACAGTCCATGACTCACTGTGTGGTCTTGAACAAAATGCTTAGCCTCTCCGATCCTGTTTCCATATGTGTAGAGAAGACTCGCCCTTAGCAAAAACACAGAGAAGCATGAAGGACTGTGATCATATAAGGCACCCAGTGGAGCCCTTGAAATCACAAATGGTGGTGGTGCTGTTCTTTACAATTTTGGTTCTGCAGAAAACAAAATGGCAGCAGACAGCCCCCACACAAAACCTGGACCCCCATCAAGGCAAGCGCTTGCCCTCGGCCAAGGCAGGTGCTTTCCCCAGGCTCCTGCCTTGGTTCGGGTTTCTCCTGAACCTAAAACACCATGAACAAAAGCAACCTGATGAGGAATTTATTTCGTCTTACAGCTCTTGGGTCATGCCCCATCACTGAGGGAAGTCAGGGCAGAAACCTGGAGGCAGAACCGGAGCACAGACCATGGAGGAACGCCACTTACTGGCTTCTTCCCAAGGCTTGTTCAGCTTGCTTATACACCCCAGGACTACCTGTCTGGGGATGGCACTGCCCACCTTGGGCTGGGCCCTCCCACATCAACCACCAATCAGTTTAATACCCCACAGGCTTGCCTCCAGGCCAACCTTATAGACACAGTTTTTCAATTAAGATCCATCACCCCTGCTTTGTCTAGATTTGAGACAAGTTGTCAATAACCAACCCTGACCCTCCCGTAGTTCTGCTCAGTGTTCTCTCAGGTGGTGGTGGTGGTGGATGTGTGACAGGGATGGAGGCACTGGTGGCACATAGGACAACAAAGGATCTGGGAAGGCCTACAACCCCAACCTTTTTGTGGGGAGAAGGTTGAATCAGGGTCTAAAATGTAGCCCTCATTTGCCTGTAACTCATTATGGAGACCCAGACTGGCCTCAAAATCAGAGAGATCCGCTTGCTTCTGCCCCTGAGTGCTGCGATTATAGGCGTGTGCCACCACACCTAGCTAGCCTGCTGAATTCTTCAAGCTTCAACAAACTTGAGGCTGTGGAGGCGGTGCCAGCTTGGTGCAGCCCCAAGAGGCAATTGGTAGGCCTACCCCATGCCAGCATTCGGCCCTGGCCCGCTAGGCATCCAGGTGTGGCTTAGACAGGGCCCACAGGAGCAGGAAGTAAGGGTTCTGATGATTCTTGCTGATCTGTCCCCACAGACACCAAGCTAGGGCCTGAGGCCTTCTGGTTCAACTTCGGCCGAGAGGCAGTGGCCACACAGCTGAGCGAGAGCTACTACATCCTGCGGCCTGAGGTGGTGGAGAGCTACATGTACCTATGGCGGCAGACACATGACCCCATCTACAGACAGTGGGGCTGGGAGGTGGTGATGGTGAGTGCCGGGCAGCAGGGGTCCCTGGGAAGCCACTGGCTCAGCAACTATAGGAAGCCAGCCGGGCTGTCCTTTGGCCAAGGGATAGGATGGTTGTTCAAGAGGCTATGGAGCCAAGAGCACAGCTCTGGGAAAGCCTCCCCGAGGCAAAGCTGAAGTTACTAAGGAGGGCACAAGTGTCTGTGACCTTGGGGACAAGTCTGGCGGCCACCCCTAGTACCATCTAGCTTCTATGCCCTGGCCCCAGAGCTTGAAATACCTCCTTTGAAACAAGTCCAGCTGTCAGCCAGCAGCTTACCCTGCTCAGTCTCTAGCCACCCCCAAAACCCCTGGTCTTCCCTCCATTCCAAGCACTAGTTAGAAACCTGGCCCTCCTAGAGTGTCTTAGTCACTGCTCTACAGCTGTGAAGAGACACCATGACCAGGGCAACTCTTATAAGAGAAAGCATTTACTTGGGGCTGGCTTACAGTTTCAGAGGTTTGGTCCATGATTATCGTGGAAGGAAGCATGGCTGCTGGAATGATGCTAGAGAAGTAATTGAAAGCTACATCCTGAACCAGAGAGAGAGGGAGGGAGGGAGGGAGAGAAAGAGAGAGAGAGAGAGAGAGAGAGAGTGGGCCTGGAATAGGCTCTTAAAACCTCCAAGTCCACCCCCAGTGACACACTCCTCTAACAAGGCCACACCCACTCCAACAAGGCCAACACCTCCTAACCCTTCTCAAAGAGTCCTACTCCTTGGGACTAAGCATTCAAATATGTGAGCCTGTGGGGGCCATTCTTATTCAAACCACCATATCGGGGTAGCTGGCAAAGACGAGGGTAGTGCTTCCAGAAAATTCTCTAATGGGTGCTACCTTCTCTGTCTGTCTTCCCACAAGCCCCTGTGCTCATGCCAACAAGGAGTCACCTGCTTTGGGGACAGGCTCTCCTTGTGCACACTCAGGGTGGGGCACTGCTTCCCTGGAGCCCTGGCTTTTGACCTTCAAAGGCCGAATGCTTTGTGCACATGTGCATCCCCAGAGCCAGTGGTGGATATAGACAGCAGCAGCAGCAGCAAGCACGGCGGGGGCCCCAAAGGCAATGCACCTGCTGCCTCCCGCTGTCTGAGTCACAGCACCCTATATAAGGTTGGGATCAAGAGGTCACTGAGGCAAGCTAGAATTCTGATAGGAGTTTAACCACACAGACAGAGGGGATTGCCCTGTTAGAGGATTTTGAGAAAGGGGAAAGCCCCACACCACACAGTTTATAAGTAGACCATAATATGCTCTTGCAATCAGATTTCTAAGTGGCAGGGAAAGGGAAAAGATCCATTTTGCCTTTTGTGACTGCAGCCATGGCAGGTGGCCTGTCATCCAGAGCAGGGTGCCTGGCCCACAGACCCTACGATGTACAAAACTGCATTCCTGTGTGGTACAGGACCCACACATCCATCCTGACACAGAGGCCTCAGCCCCAGGCTTCCGAGTCTGCTCTCTGGATCCCAGTGACCCCTGCAGACTCCCGGCAACCGTTCTTTCTTGACCTCATCATCTCTGTGGTGAAAGTGTCGATCACCTGGTCACCCGGGTCCCTGGAAGGTGGAGAAGCCTGGGTTAGACTCGGACCAGGGAATTGCTCCGCTGCTTGAGAAAGCATCAGGGAAACTCAGAGTGGGCCAGGGTAATCTGGGCAGGCTGATCCAGGAAGAAGGACCCGGCCTGGACTCCCAGATGGATAGCCAGGGGTTGGAATCTGTGTTGTTGAGCTCCAGCCACAAGGCATTCCTCCCCATACTAAGGCTGCTCCCTTCCCCCAGGCCCTGGAGAAATACTGCCGAACAGAAGCTGGCTTCTCAGGGATCCAGGATGTATATAGCATCAACCCCAACCACGACAACAGGCAGCAAAGCTTCTTCCTGGCTGAGACGCTGAAGTGAGTACAGCTGTTCCTGGGTCAGGCCAGTGGCTCAGGAGTCACAGAGAGGAAGCCCATGTGGGGTGGAGGCTTAGGGTCCACAGGGCTACACAGCAGGCTGAGCTCTGGCGAGGCCTAATTTTTCCTCAAGAGCCCCAGCACCGACCACAGAGGTAGTTGCGCAAACCCCTTCACCTGGTCCTTTGCCACTCAGCTCTTCAAAATAGTCACCTTCCACGTGACATTGATACTGAGCACCACTGGGGCTGTGCCCCTGTGACCTCTGCAGGCCAGCTTGGAGTGCGTGGCAGTCTCCTGCCTGCTTTGGGTGTAGTCCACTGCCCTACTCTTCTTGCACTAATAGTCCCTTCCAGTTAGGGTCCACACCGGAAGCTGGGGTCCCCAGAGCCTGGCTGTGTCACTGCTGCAGGAATTTAACTGTAGCTTGGGAACCGGGAGTCTGTGCAGGTGCAGACCCTGGGCCGCCTGACGAAGAGCGAGAGGAGGGCCAAGTCTGCAGGATTCACAGCAGGGCAGTCAGGGAAATGAAGCCATGGGTGCGGGCCGGGATTAATCAGATCTTCTGACCCCAGAGCTCCGAATCCCTGTGCTTCCTCAGCACCAGCCCTGGAAGGTGTGGGTGGGCGTCCTGTCCTGTGGCCCTCGTCCTCCAGACACTGACCACTCTCTCACCCTGCCACACAGATACCTCTATCTTCTGTTCTCTGAAGATAACATGCTGTCATCGGAGGACTGGGTGTTCAACACTGAAGCCCACCCACTGCCTGTCAATCACTCGGACAGATCCAGCATGGCTGGGCACCACCACTGACCAACTGACTGCACACCCGTGTCTCAGGGATGCCTCTACTTTCTTGGGATCCGGGACCGTTCTCAGAGGCACTGAGGACAGAAGGCCCATCGTGGGCAGACCCTGGACGGATGTGTTGGACAGGCGACTTCTTTTCCTCTGTGAGGAGACAGGAGCTGGTGATGCACCAGCATCAGGCCCGGGCTGTGGTCCCCGGTGCCTACACGTTCCTTTCTGCGGGGGAATTTCTGCGTCCCCATACTTGCTGTCACAGGGCCAAAGGACTGGAGGTTTGCGTATCCACCCCCATGTATTTGATTATCTTCCTTTCTTGGTTTAGGGAGTTGGTTTTGCTTGATTTTGTGTTTTTCCCCATTTTGAATTTTATGACGATTATAATTTTCAAAATCATGCACCTTCTAAAATGGTGTCACCTAACTCAGAGAGACCTTAAGTGTTTGCACACGTGCACTCTTACCCGTCTGTTTTTAATGCCTCTCACCCAACACTGACTGTTTTATCGTATGTCTCCTATTTTATCATTTGAGGAGGTGCCCCCCCTTTGATTTGGTTCCAGATGTTACAAATCACTAATGCTATTTTCATTACTGTAATGGAAAAACATGTGAAGTAGAATAAAGGAGTTTATTGAATAAGAAATAAGATTTGAACTCATTGCCCACCAGTGGCTCCTGGGAAAAGTGTTACACCAATGTCATGAGAAACAGTCACCAGCCGTGGGAGCTGAGGTGTGATTTAGTCAACCATTCCCGCCTCTATAATGCTCCCTTCAATTGGCCTGAGTAGATCCAGGAAGTATGAGGCCAGCCCTTTAGGTAGAGTTGGGTCTGTACTCTCAGATGAAGGAATGGAAGAAGCCCAGAGAGGTGAAGCTGTTTGCCTGAGGTCACACAGCAGAAAAAAGGCAGAAGTAAGCCTTGCTTCTGGGATCTCCTGGCCACTCCTTCCTTTGTTCATCTGCTGTCATTCAGCTATGCTTGATGAGCACCTGCCATGACCAAGTGCTTCACTTCAGACCAAGGACAAGGCTGAGGTGAGATGGTCGCTGGCCTGCAGTGAGGGGACTCAGATCAGATGGTACTCCCAGGTCAGCGGAATAGCTTCAGCTCATTGGAAATACCAACAAGGAGACATGAGGTTGAGCCAACAATAGTCAGGCCCTGGCTCAGGGGTTAGGGACAATAGGTGACTTTTAAGCCACGACCCAAACTTAAGTAAGAGCTACAGGAAAGGACATAGTTGGGTGAGGTCTGCCAACCCAGACCCCCTTCCCACCCTCCTTGTGCCTACCTCTGATGCCCTATGAACCCAGAGGCCATCTGCATAGCAAGGAGTCCACATCACTACACTGAGGTGCCAAGGTTTCCTTTCTAGCCCAGGGCCCTTTACAGCCTGGCCACAGCTGAGGTAATGCTGAGTCTTTCCCAGCCTCTTGGTCAGGTTATGCTTGTCAGCTGGCCATCTAAGTACTGGAGCTCTGAGCCTGAGGACTGCCCCCCACCCCCAATTGTGTGAGCCCAGGCAAGTCACCTCACCTCTCTGGGCTCTTATCCATCAGCATAAATTCAACCATTGAGATGCTCCTGGTACCCTGTGGTTCAGGATGTACTGCCTCCTTGTTCCGGAGGCTCAGACACTCCAGCTCCTCCTGAGCAAAGCTGTGCAACACACAGTCCCTGTACCAGGAGCCCCAGCCCTCAGAACATCAGTCACACTTTAATCAAGTGTCACAGAACAGGGTCTCCTGCTGCCCACAGCACACACTTCAAAAGAAAAGGGAAACTCACCGCACAAACTCACTGCACAAACACTGTAAGACAATTAAAAAACCAAGATAATTAAAAAGAAAACACAGCCACTATCCCGCTCTCTGGAATGAATACTGTTATATTTTCTTCTAGACCTTTTTCTATGAATATATAGAATATATATTTTACAAACATGGTATCAGCCTAATGCAAACTGTTTTCTTATAACCTGCTTTTGCGCTTAACTATATATTGTGAACCTCTTTCCATGTCAACAAATATACACGTATGTCAGCACTTGTCCTGGTTGTGTGGTTTTCCACCGTGTGTCGTCTCATGCTATGTGCATCTAACACCCTGATGCTGGGCATTTGGGTTTGTGACTTTGGGGGCTCTTAGTTAAACAACAACAGTGTGTATTGCATTGCCAATGAGTGGCTCCTGGAATCTTGGGAACAAAGGAACTGATAGAAGTCTGGAGAGAGATAGCTCAGTGGTTAGGGATACTTACTGCTCTTCCAGAGAACTCAATTTTTTAAAAAATATTTATTTATTTATTATGTGTACAGTGTTCTGTATGCATATATCCCTGCAGGCCAGAAGAGGGCACCAGATCTTATTATAGATGGCTGTGAGCCCCCATGTAGTTGCTGGGAATTGAACCCAGGCCCTCTGGAAGAGCAGCCAGTGCTCTTAACTCCTGGGCCATCTCTCCAGCCCTCCAGAGAACTCAGTTTGATCCCAAGCACCCATGTCAGGTCCCAGCTCACAACCACCTGTAACTCTAGCTACAGTGGATCTGTTCCCTTCTGGCTTCTGCGGGCACCCCCACACATATGTCAGACTCACACACACACATACACACACATTATCTTAAAAAAGAAAAGACAGCTGGGCAGTAGTGGCACATGCCTTTAATTCCAGCACTCAGGAGGCAGAGGAGGGTGGATCTCTGTGAGTTCAAGGCCAGCCTGGCCTACAGAGTTCCAGGACAATCAAAGCCACATAAAGTAACCCTGCTTCTTAAAAAAAAAAGAAAGAAAGAAAAGAAAAGAGAAGAAAAGAAAAAAGGAAGGAATAAAGAAAGAAGAAAAGAAAAGATAAGAAAAAGGATTTGGTAGCCAGGGGTCCTACAAGAACCAGGGTGGCTTTTTAGGTCCCCAACAGGATAGCTGAGCCCAAAGCACCCAGATCCTGTTCTGTCTCTGTCTTTGTCCCACTAGGCTTGGCCTGGGTGCCAGCTGGCCCACAGCAAGGGTGGAAAAGCATCGTGATTGGCACATCCACCAAGGCCTGAGCATCAGATGTTCATGGAGGACATGGTGAGGTTCACTCTTATATAAGGGGCCTTGAACTGAGTGGTAGAGAGAGCAGGTGGTTCCATTTGCCTGCCTTTGTCCAGAATGGTAAAGGGCTGTGAAGAACCCCCGGCCTCTCCTCCTCTCACCCTGCCCAGCTCATCCCTGGGCTGTGTCAACTACAATGTCTCTCCCTCCAAAGTCCCCAAGCTCCCCCTCAGGGCCATGTCACATCCTTGTCCTCTGTCTTTCTGCTGGGAGCGACTTGCAAAAATGACTATTTTAACATCCTTCCTCCAGGAAGGCCCTTGCAGGTGGTGAAATATCATCCTTCCAGCACAGAGCACCATACCAGGGATAAGAGATAAGGAAGGCCTGAGGCAGCCATAAAAAGACAGGCACTGTCTTTATGACTCAGACCCAAGAGGCAGGAGAGAGCCTGTGGCAGGCCCCAGGCTACCCTTCCCTACGCAGTCTGCACCTCCTGCACCTCACCAACAGCTCCTGGCCAGCCTCTCTCGGCAGTCCTCGCCACATGCCCAGGTCCTGAGCCCTGGAGCATCATGGTAAGCAGAGGGCAGAATCTGGCCAGGTCCCCCCATCAAACCGCGTGCATGTGTTCAGACAGCCAGACATGCTGAAGAGGGTGCGCAAAACTGGTGGTTGGGGAGATGTCTTAGTTGGTAAAGGGCTTGCTGCACAAGCATGAGGCCCCGAGTTCAAATCCCCGGTGCCCACGTGGTGGCCACACTGAGTGGCACCTATCTGTAATCCCAAAGGTGGGAGGGACCCTGCCTCAAAACTACAGTCCAGTGCAGGCTGGAGAGGTGCCGGGGGCCGTGGGGTTAAGAGCGTATACTGCTCTTTCACAGGACCCAGGTTTGATTATCAGAACCTGTCTCGGCACTCCATAACTGTCTGTAACTCCGGCTCTACATAATCCAGTGGCCTCTCCTGGACTCCTTGGGCACCTGCACTCACACGTACCCACACACATACGCACATAAAAATAAAATAAAAATTTTTCACACACACACACACACACACACACCACAAAGCTAAACTGGGGATCCTAGGGGAGCACTCTGAAGCCAAGATGGTGTTCTCACACTAGGGATACAGATCAGTCCGTCACACAGCACTATCTGCACTTGTGCCTGGCCCTGGGTTCCATCCCCAGCATCCACAAAGAAATGAGCTGCTTTCTCATGCTTTTGCTTTGGGAGGTGGGAGTCAGTGTGGCATGGGGCTGCAGCTGTCCCTGTGCCTGCACAGAGCTGAGTGGGCCCCTGTGACTAATGCTTACTCACTGGCTGCTGGTGGCAGAGCACTGTGATTGCTCAGCTAGAAACATGCTTGGCTTCCTAGGTTTGGAGCGATGTTTATACCTGCTCAGCCTGGCTCCTAAATCAGAGCTTCTCAAACTAAATGTGCACACAAAGCACCTGGGGACCTAATTAAAGAGCAAGGTGGGAAGATAGCTCGGTGGACAAAGTGCTTGCCTTCCAAGCGTGAGTACATAAGTTCAGATCCCCAGAACCCATGTAAAAAGCCTTTCTCAAAAGATAAGTTTGGGGCTGGAGAGATGACTCAGGGGTTAAGAGCACTGACAGCTCTTCCAGAGGTCCTGAGTTCAATTCCCAGCAACCACGGCTCACAACCACCTTGAATGACAACCACCTTGAATGAGATCTGGTGCCCTCTGTTGGCACAGGGGCAGAAAGACTGTATACATACATACATACATACATACATACATACATACATACATACTTTAAAAAAAAAAGATAAGTTTGAGTGCAACTGAGGGAGATGCCTTACCTTGACCTCTGGCCTCTATGTACAAGTACACTCACAGCACACACACACACACACACACACACACACACACACACACACAAGCAAGCTAGTGCGGGTCCTGATCTCCTAGCAGACATGAATGGACCAGGGTTCCGAGCAACCAGGCCCAGTTCTGGGGCCACCCCTAAATTGGCTGGCTTCCCTTTGCACCCCTGAAGCTTCAGTGGCTCTAGGTTGGAGTCCAGGGACAATTATTGGGTGACATCTATAGGTGTCTGAACCATATGCAGGACCTACATCCAAACAGATGTGCCCTGTGACATCACTTCTGAACAGGGCGAGTGAGACAGGAGCAGGCAACTGTTGACTGAACAGAGCTGACCAGAGGGATTTCCTGAGGTTCTGTGGCCCAGGATTGGCCACGTGCCTCGGGGATGAAGCGCTGAAGTTGTGGCAGGTGCCTCAGGAGTACAAGTTTAATTTCCTTCATTTCGTTTAAACAGCTGCATCTGCTTATAAGCTGCCGTTTAGCCAGCTCGGAATTAGAACTTGGATAGCGAGTGCCCTCCTCAGACCCTGCCCGACTCTCTGCCTCAGCTCCACTGCCAAAACGACCTAAGCACAAACCGTTCTGTTTGGGATCTCAAGTGTCCCCTGGTACACAAGTGGTTATTTTTATACTGTTTTCTCCTTTGGCTGTTTGCCGAGGACACCCCTGGGTTTTGTCCCATTTTGTCTTTTCTTGCTCGCAGTTTATATGCAGATGGCTGAGGTAGGTCAAGGTAAGCTGAGTGGGGAAGGGTTCTCCTCAACGGAGAGCCAACCCAGTCTCTGAAGCCAGGTGGACTCTGCCCTGGGCTGTGTGGCCTTAGGCAAGCCCCTTAACCTCTCTGGGCAAAGCTTCTCTGGTGGTGAAAACATTGGGATTACTTAAGTAGCCCCCTAAAGGAACGCCTTTCGAAGCAGTGTAGCATCGACAGTTGTTACTATGCCAACGTCTTTGTAAACTGTAGAGCCCCACTTAAATGTGAGGCATAACACTGCCATGGGAAGTTCTCCTCTTTTAAACACAATGCTTCGAAACTTAGAGAAAACAGCATGAAGCAGGCCCAGGAGATGGAACAAACTCTCCAAGCAATAAATCCAATGCTTTTCTGCGTTTCTCATTGAGCAAGCATTTGCCATTAGCCAGAGTTGGCTAAAATTGGGAACCGGAGGTGAAGATTTGCTAGCTGCCCAGGGGCTCCAGCTGAAGTCAGGAGGAGGCCAGGCAGGGGCTGGCCTGGAGGCCCCTCCACCTGGGGGGCGTTGGAGGCCCAGTTCATTCTGGTTCTAGATGCCTCCTGCTGCTCGGGAGGGAGGAGAGGCAGGAAAAGCTAGCACCTCACCTGCAAAGGGACAAGATGGCACAAGCCAATCAGCTGTTCCCCAGAGGCAGCTGTTCCCTGCTGCCATTCCCTGCACACGGTGTCCGGCATCCCAAGTCTGGACAGCTCATATTTCACTCACTGGCCCAAGACAGTTGGCTTTTGTTTTTGAAACAGGGTCTCATGTATCCCAGGATGGCCTTGAACCCCCTACGTAGTCGAAGATGACCTCTGACTCAATAGGACCATGATGTCCCCAGGATGTTGTAGAGCAGAACCTGGGACAGTAAGTCTTGTACCCATCTGACTTTAACTCATGGAAGGCCCCAGATGTCAAACTGATGTTAGCAGCTTGTGTGGGACTCTCAGCTGTCTCCATTTTCCTGTCTACTCTGGTCCTAGATAGCAGCAGGGTGTGTGTGTGAGGGGTGGGAGAGAGCAGGGTTATATAAAGGAAAACTCTTAGATCAGGCATTCAATGACCAGCACTCCAAAACTCTCACCAGGGAAATCGAGGTGTTCCTCAACTCTGCCCAGTGATGCCTGAAACCAACTGGGAGTGTGGCCGGCTCAGTGTTTTTGTTCAAAGGCCCCAGAAAGCTGGTGGGCAGTAAGATTAGCTAAGCCAAGGCCTCTGTTCCCATCAGGCTAGAATCAGTGTTCATTTGGGACATCCTTGGGCATCTGCCTTCTTCCTTTGGAAAGCCACACAGGAGCGTCAGGAAAGAAACCTCTCCGCCTTCCCTGGACACCACAGGAGCCATGCCACACTCATCCAGGTCCCCAGTACAGATCTACCTTCTAGCTAATTCACAGTCCTGCCTGTGCCTGT